CTACGGGTTCGCGGTGCATTTGCGTGTCAAAACCCTATCCCCCCGTCGTCGCGTCTCTTCACAATTCCCCACTCCTCTCCTCACATTTCTCGCCGCCGGTGAGCCCCTTCCGCCTCCGGCCGCCATGTGAGGTCGCATGTGGAACTCCGGCCACGGCTTCGGAAGCAGCTCCGGCGGGGGCGGCGACCCCGAGCGCGAGCGGCGTGTCCTCTCGGACGGTGCGGGGCAAGGAATTGGACGAACAGGGGCCTCTCGCCGCCGCCGAGCTTCCTCGTCCGCGAGACGGAGGAATACGACCGTCGGCACGGGCGTACACCCTCCTCGGCCGCGGGCTCATCCTCCGCCGCGAGTTTTTCCCATGCCACGAGCTCTTCCTCTTCCGGCGCGAGCCTTCTTCCCATGAAGAGAGAGTGGTCGGAGGAGCCGGAGGAGATCGAGGTCGTCGCCGTCAAGCAGGAGCCCGAGGAGATCGGGAGCCGCGATGTCATCAGACCCGAGGACTTCGCCGCCGATGTCGACGCGATCGCGGCCGCCATTGCCGAACGCAGCTTGCACGAGGAGGCGGAGCGCTGGCGCCACCACGAGGAGCTCGAAGACCTCGTGTTCCAGCAGGCGGTCGCGGCAAACCTTGCCGCCAAGGAGAAGGACGACGAGTAGAGGCGCATCCGCGAGGAGCAGAAGGAGAAGTACATCGACCTCGGCAGCTCCGACGAGGAGGATTGAGCTCCTCCACCGTGTCGTCTATGGCCACGAGCTCGGCGCCGTGAGATCCCCACCCCCTCTAGTACTAGTAGTGAATGTAGTATATAGTATGAACTAGTGTTTGTAATGAATTAGTGTTTGATGATGTAGTATATGTAGTATGTGATGAACTACTACGGTTGCAATTTCTTTCGCGAAACTTTTTTTTTCAAATTATGCAGTTTCATATACGGTTTTTGTTTGGCTGCACACGTTTTTGACCCGCAAACAAGATCTTCGTCGAACTACAAACGCATTTTGTAGGGTCTGCTAGAGATGCTCTTATTTTGGTCACCAGGGCATCAGGCCAAGTTGGGGCAGCGGCCATGCCACCCGCAAGTGGGTGGACTCGTACACTGACCGGACCATGAAGTTTCTGCCCATTAGCGAAATATTCTCTCCGTCTAAAAATAAATACTTCTCCATCCGAAAATATTTATCGGACAAATGGATCCTTGATTTAGTGCTCTAGACTCGTGCGTTTTGACCTTTGGATAAGCTCTGAGATTGCACGTGGTTGATTCTGCATCGGTTAAAAATTGGTTCAGGTACATGAGATACAACTTACAAATAAGCAAGCGAAAGGCATCTTGGAAACAGACAATCCTCTTGGACCAAATGGTAGACATCACGAGTGAAACAAATTCCCGGCCGCTCGAGTCAATCTAGCTAACCAGAAAGCACCAGCTACATGTGGACAAAACAGAGCATCAAATGCTGCCGTCTTGGGTTATTTTAGTCACCTGGGCATCAGGATCAGGCCAGATGCTGGGGCGGCGGCGTACACTGACCGGACCATGTAGGGCTGGAAAAAAAGCTTGAATCTCGCGAGTTAAACGAATAGCTCGTGACTCGGCTCGAATCGACTTGAACTTGAAGAATAACGAGTCGAGCCAAGCTTTAGTTTAAGATCGTTTATAGACCAAGTTAAACGAGCCAATCTCACGAGTACTCGTGTAACTCGTTAGGCTCGGTACAAAAAATCAGCCACTCTCAATACAAAAAAAAATAAGCCACTCAGCATCCTACGTTCCAGACGCACAACACAAGGCCCAGCCATTGAAGACCCACCCGCCTAGGAGACTCATGCATTACAAGGAAATTACAATTGTTTAGTGATATATATGTTTAATATACACATAATCATTTTTTATCATTTTGAGGGTTTTATGTTCATATCTTTAACGAGTTTAACAAGCTAAACGAGCCAGCTCGCGAGTTATACGAGTCGAGTCAATCTTGAGTTTAAGCTCGTTATAGTAACGAGTCGAGTCGAGCTAGCTCGTTAACGAAACGAGCTCTAACGAGTCGAGCCGAGCTGGCTCGACTCGGCTTGAATTCCGAGCCGAGCTGGTCCGACCATGAGATTTCCGTCCATTAGCCAAAAATGTTAATTTGCAGTGGCAAACCCCTGGGGATTGGCCAATCCCCTGACCTAACCATCAACCACCTGGCTGACTAGCCAGTGTCCGTTATGCGCCTGACCAGTCTGTTGCTTTACCTAGCTTCATTAATCTTCTCTCCTCGACCAAGTGGACAAACATAAGCAATATAAACATCTACTCCCTCCGCTTCCTAAATACAAGGTCCTTTTAGATATTTCAATATAGACTACATACAGAACAAAATAAGTAAATCTACGCTTTAAAATATGTCCATATACACATATATGTGGTTCATATTGAAATATTTAAAAAGACTTGTATTTTGAAACGAATGGAGTATATAATGTTGAACTATATTGCCCATCTCTTTCCATCAGTTCGGGTTGATGGGTAAACTGTTTAAGTGTACAAACTTGCAACCAAGAGGTTCAGGGTTCAAAACCTAATAAATGCCCGCTTCCACTGCCCACGTCCAAAGAAATATAGACGTGAGGGGAGTGTTGGAGTATAATGTCCGGCCCTTTCTCATAGTTCGGACTTTCGAATGAGTTGGCTGAATTTCTGCCGGAGCTGAGCTGCTTCCCATAAAAATACTAGAGTTCAGCCAAGTTCTTTTCCGTGCATTTTGAGCACTGTGCCTCCGTCCTGGTTCTAAAACAACAAATCGGCAGCCCGTACATTCGTCACACGCCAACTTAACCGTACTAGTGGCCTAGTATACATCCATCATGCTGTCAACCCTCTTAGACCAGGGTCCAAATCTCTCGCCTAGCATCCTCATTAATCTAATACTACAAGCAAGAGATTTAGGCATTGATTGAAGGACATATCATCGCCCTGATGAGCAAAGCTTGAGCCGGACATTATACTCCAACACTCTCCCTCACGTCTATGCTTCTTTGGAGCTATATGACGTGGGCAACGGAAGCGGGGGCGGGCCACAATTATTTATTGCGTTTACTGAGTTTTGAACCCTGAACCTGTTAGTTGTAAGTTTA